AACTGAATGTAAACTTTGTTTTTCGAAAACTTTTCGGTCGTTCGTGATTTCCGTAACTTTATCGCGAGGGAAATAGTTACTTTTGTTTTCCCTCGAGTCTCGATAGTTTCACGAGAACGCCCCGTGAAAGTACGGGTAATTGACTGTATTTGAGGATAATGTGACTCAATTATGATTATGAAAACCAGATTAGTGAACATTTTAGCCTGGGAGCCACTTGCAGTTGAGAAATTGTGGTTCAAAAACAGAAAGAACACTGAATAGGGTTGAGTAAATGACGTCATTTACTCACAATTTAGATGCTGAATAAAATTGATAATTTTTATCCGACACATTTTACTGTGAAGAAATTATGTTGCTTGGATACTATTGGGGCCATATAGATACGTTAAACTAAGTTTAAAGCCATTTCCAATTTTTATCCATTTTCATCCAAGTGCCCCTCTAAGTGTTTTGTTATATAGCAATTGAGAAATATTGAGAAGTCACTTAGAGTGAAGTCATTAAGCCCGTGAAATAGATATTAGACTAAGGCCTAGGGCAAACGTTGAACTTTCCATGCACCGAACTCATTAAAAACAATGGATATCAGGTGATAATGAGGCGGCATTCTGTGATGTAATTAAGTTCGGTGCACGGAAAGTTCGACGTTTGCCCTAGGCCTAATGCACTTTAGTAGACCTTAATTCCAATGCCTTCTTTTGTGTATACAGTCAATCCCAAAAACGTTGTCCAAGTGAAAAGAGGTTTATAGGACAATAAATGTCACGTGTCTCATTAAATATTCAGTTTTACGCGCGTGGATTTTTTAATTAGCATACTGATGCAAAAGTAAATTACAGTATTGAAAACTGAATCTGAAAGGAGAATGGTATACCAACATTTGTTTTATGCAAAAACAAACCAGGAGATAGCTGCTAATCTGTTTGTAAGTCCTGAAACGGTCAAACGGACGTGTGCGACATTCTACACTAGTGGAGACATTAATCCTTGGCCCGTCGGTCGACCTCTTCAAACAGGAACACTTTTTCCGCATGAAGAGTATATCGTCATGGAGTGTCTTCTAGAAC